TTAATCGATTATTAAATTAGTCAACGATTATTTTAATAATCGATTAGTCGTCGATTAATCGATTAATCGTTGCAGCCCTACTGTAAAGTATGACAAGAAACACAGATGTGCAATTACAGCCGAATTATATTAAAGTTTAAAATGGGTAATAAAAGAGCAGATGATTGCTCAGAATAATAATAATTTAAATGAGTAGTAGTCCAAATGATTGTTCAGATGAGTAATGACAATGAATAGTAACAGTACAAATGAGTGTGAGAGCAGRAGGTGTGTAAACACTTAGTGATTTTTGTAAAAACTTATTGTGATTTTTGTAAAAACTTATTGTGATTTTTGGGCGTGGTGCTGGTTATAGTGCTCCTGAGATGAGTTGGTGACACCTGTAATAATTCTGATTTTTTCATCACTAAGTGGGAGGTTCTTGGTGCGTGGGAGAAGTTTGTCAAAGACATAATTGGTCTGTTTGACTTCTGTCGGAGCAGTTTGGTAAAGACGTGATTGGTCAGATTTGTTCTTTTGGGTGGGGTTTGAAAAAGCCATAACGATTCGGTTGGATGAAKGCTGGGTACATGTAGCTCAGTCCAAATGGCCAGAGAGCATCTATAACTTTAAATCTAAATATTATTTTAGGCATAACTTGAGACAGGAAGGTGCTAGCCGCACAAAATTTGAATGCCCAACATGTGGATGGATGTGGAACAATTCGGCTCAGTTCAAAAACAGCCCTAATCTGCCTGGAAAAAGACTGTTTCAAATACAGGTCCAGGCTGTAATGTTTGCTTCAGTTTGAGCTCAGCTGATCTCAGTAAACAGCCTCTATGTCCAGCACCATTTAAAGGTGGTCAACTCTACGGTTCAAACAGTAAACGACCGTCTGTAGAAAATCAGAATTCATTCATGTGTTTACACTAAATTATGTTACTTCCTGAGAACATTATCTTGTTGGTCTGAATTGAAAAAAATGTGTTTTCAGATATTTGTTAAAAACAAGGCAGCTCAGAAAGCCTCAGCTCTGTGGGATAGTTTCAGTCAGGTCTTGCATCATGTGATGTTGGAATCAGAATTGCACAGAAATCTCAGAGTTAGAAAAGTTGTTTTTTGGTTTCAGATCTCTGATGAACTTGATTCCGATTGGATTTAGGTTCATTTAAAGATCTGAATCTGTTTGCAGGGTGTCTTCTACCTTTTAGTGCATAGCTGGTCTTCTCCTGCTCGTCCTCAGCAGACTCGTACATGTCAACGTACGCTCGGGCAAGTCGCCACAGAAACTGTTCGTTATCTCCGTGCTGCAGAACCAGAATCAGAATCTCATGGTTAGAGTTCAGAGGTCACAGGGCATCAGTTAAAACCTGCTGTCCTGTTTGCTGCCATGTTCTGACAACTACTGCTAGAAAAATGAAACGCTCTCAAAACAAGCATAGGCGTTAGGGGRTCGAACCCTAATCTGTCAGTCTCAGTCGTGTCCTTGGGCAAGACACTTCACCCACCTTGCCTGCTGGTGGTCAGAGGGTCCGGTGCATTGAAAAATATTACTGGATTGGGCGTCACGTAACCTGGGAGTGCTTCGCAAGGGGGATTTTTTTGCATTGAGCTAATGCTAATGCTAACCATTGTAATCAATGAGCAGAACGTAGCGCGGTGCAAACAAACGCTTTATAAATGTGCAAATGGTACAAATACTTTACTATAAACTGCAGAAATTGTTACAACATGTTTACAAGAGCTAAAAGGGTTATATTTCACAGGTAAATATTATGCATATTTAACCAAAATTAAATATTTTAATTGTAAAACCTGTATGCTAACATTAAACAGTTTGAATGTTCATGTTTAACCTTATTTAAAATCGATTTTATCTGTTGTCAAATATATTATTTACTGATATTTAACATGTAAATATGGACTTTATTGGAATGTTGACTAGTTAGACTTCATATAAATTCATAAATTATGATGTAGACCGGCTAATGACAGTCACTAACGTAATGATTGAGCATCATAAACATAAATAGTCACGTTGTCAGAC